ATATCTATTTATTATACAGGTGTCTACATTTTGAGACTCCCCACTTCAACCACTGCAAGTTATTAATATTAATGGTTTTTTTTATTTTATTTTTTTCTGTACTCTTGTAACGTTGATAATGAAATTATATATAGATATGATATAAAAATTAATTACATTTAGCCTAAAATACACCCCTCTACACTAGTATAACCCCTTTAAAATTGCTACATATTTTTATTATTCACTTAAACAGTACTTTTTTTATGATGTTTACATTATTTAATACTGATATATATTTTAAACAATACATTCTGTGTTTCTTATGATTTATAGCACTTTCAATTGAGCACACACCAGACGGGGGCCTCGTCGGCAGCCCCAAGATCGTCGATTCCAAGGCCGGCCTTTTGGGAGGAAAAGAGAAAAAATGTTTGTTATGAACGATTCGTTTGCTCAAACATCGCAGCACCAAGGTATAAAATTACTTTAATAATATATTTTTAATTTATATAATATATAATTTATATAATAATATTTTATTATTTATATTTATTGATAATGAATGTAATGTATTTTTGATGTAATATATAATTCTGAGTGTTGAATATCGTTTTTGGAGAATCAAACTTTTTTAAAGATCCATGAGTATAGCAGAATAATTGCCATAAATCGGTTATATTTTGTTATTAGTAATTAAAAGAAATTCTGTTTAGCTATTTATTATATTATTATTAATTGACATCCAAATAATAGTTTTTCGGCTTATAGAATCTAATTACTGAACTAAATTATATTGAATCTCATTACGACATTTTTTATGAATCTATTGCTTTGTATTATATAGTTCGAAAATATCGATGTTGTGTTCTGAAGTCTAATATTTAATTAAACATCTATCATATCTGTTGCAATATTGTATTTTATAATTATATAGGTAAGTTACAGGTAAATTATAGAGGTAATTATAAGATAAATAAATATATTAATCATCTTATAATTTAAATGCTATTTAAAAAAGAAATGGCTAAAAATGTTAACCTATCAATGGATTACTTCTGAATATTTCAAATCGTTTGTTTGCGTCTTATAATATTACTATTATCACTATTACTATGGAATTATATTCATTTCTCTATTAATTTGAAAATTTTAAATTTATAGTTTCACAAATAATCATATATATCATATCATAGTTGTAATTCTAGAAAAAATTCTAGGAGCAATTGTGCTATTATTTTTGGTTGTGGTTCTAAAATTGTTATTTAGGTTTAAATTAAACCTAAGCAATTACAGTAATTATATTTATATTGAAAATAGTTTTTTGCGTCATATAGTATATTATTCATTATATTTATTCTTCTATTTATATTTCTGATAAAATTCATATGCATCTCAACCTAAATTATTGTGTTTTGCAAGAGAGCTTTTATATATTGTAGGAACTGAATCAATGCCTTTTCATTATATAATTACAAAAAACGATACATTTATGTTTTAAAGAATATTTTAGTATAACATTGAATTGAATTCAAGAGTTCAAGATTGAATGGAATTTTAATTATAGGGATATGTTCAACCTTAATTATTAAATTATTATAATATCAATTACTATTTCAAGAAAGCTTTTATAAAAGGGAGGAACTGAATCAATATATTTTATTATATAATTACAAAAAAACGATATTATGTTCCAAAATATGATTCAGTTGAGCTTTCAATGGAATTTAGGAGTTTGAGATTTAATGGAATTTCAATTGTAGAGATAACTTTAAACTTAATTATTAAATTATTGCAATATCAATTACTTTTTTAAGAAAGCTTTCATATACTGTAGGAACTGAGTCAATGTATTTTATTATATAATTACAAAAAAAATAACGATATTATGTTCTATAGAATAATTCAGTATAACTTTGAATTGAATTCAGGAGTTCAACATTGAATCGAATTTTAATTATAGAGATATGTTTAAACTTAAATATTAAGTTATTATGATATCAATTACTATTTCAAGAAAGCTTTTATAAATGGGAGGGGTGTATTTTATATATAATTACAAAAAAACGATATTATGTTCTAAAATATAATTCAGTAGAACTTTGAATGGAATTCAAGAGTTCAAGATTGAATGGAATTTTAATTATAGAGATAAGTTTAAACTTAATTACCTTATAATTTAAATGCTATTCATAAAAATTGACTAAAATTTCTAACAACTTATTTATTACATTAGTTATGAATATTTGAAATTGGTTCTTTGGTTTGAGAATTAAAAAGTCCTTTGAACTGAATTAGAAAAATAGATTACAGATATTTGGGATACTTTAGGTTAACTTTACTCGTTTTTTTATTAGTATAGTACTAATTATATATAATAATAATATAATTATTGCACAATATCATAATCTTGTTTAAATAGGCGATTTTTAATAGCGTTTTCGAAGTTTAAATGAATATAAATAATAGAAATTAACTTCAATAATCGCAAAAATGTTCAGTTTGACCAAATTTATAGTTTTTTCTTGAACGCCCATTAGGTTTTTTATATGATTCTTCTAATGATGGTTTCAATCAATGCCTTCACCCCGTTTCGTTTTGACGTTGAATTCTGGGACACCCTGGATTTTTCCTTCTTTTAATACTTCATGTGTTATTTTGGATATATATTATACTTACATTTGTGATTATTTCATAAGCAGTTTCAATATTATGATTGAAACTTCTCATTGTTCTAATATTTATTAATATTTTCAATTACTAAGTAATTTTTTATTCATAGGACGAATTGTTTATTTTCAGGGCGCACACTGGTGGTGGCGGAGGTACAATACACAAAAGCAAAGATTCTCTAACTATGTGCTGCGACAAAAATTGTAATTGTGATACAGTCTCTAGTACGCCGATATTTACAAGTGAGTTGAATTCAAATTATTTGGGAAGATGGTCCAATCTTTTAGTTTAATTTAAACAAGTTCATTAAGGGTATCATTATTAAATTTTTGAGTTATTTAATTAAAAATACATTTTGAAAGAATTATTCAATGGTCTTTAACTTATATGTATGTTTTTTTGCATTTTTTAATTAAAATTTATTATTTACATACACAAAATCTTTATTTATGGGTGGAATACTCCACCAATATGGAGGTACAATTAAAAGGCGATAAAAACAATTATATATATATATATATATATATATATATATCAAAATCAATTTAATTGAAAGTTTTGAGCATTTTAATTAATTATCTTCAATTATTTTAATAATTAATTTATATATCTTATATTAAAGTTTAGGCAATGTTTTGAAGAACTTTGCAATTTGTTCTCTTTTATAACTTTTTGAAAGCTTCTTCAATTCAGACCAATAATGATCGCATTGGACTCTTAAATATAATTCTTTATTCCGTAAAAGAATATATGTACATTTAAAAAAATTAATCCTTAAATGCTAAGATTTTTCAAACTAAATGACTTGTTTCTAGTGCTTGTTCGAGCCTCTTTTCGTAAAATAAAATTTAACAGTTTCTCTAAGTCGGCTTCAGTCAAATCACAGCAATTTCTGATATCATTTACATTTAAGATAAATAGAATCAAGAACTATTTTACTTTTGTTATTCCATTTGACGATATTTACATAGATGATTCTGGTAGAAATCTACTGGAATCCTTTCATAGTTATTATATTTGTACTTTTTAGATTCTCGAGGAAAGAAATATTATTAACTTATAAGATTTAACCCATGTGTATATATGTTTGTGTAAGTGTATCCTGATAAAAACTTCTTTTCAATTATGATTTAAAAATATTTTTATGTTTAATAATAATTACGACATTAATTATTGAATAGGAGTCTTAATAAGTGAATATAATCGCCAATAATGTTTGAAACAAAATTGCGAAATCTTTATGTAAGCCATTTACTTTGTCAACTATTTGATTAAAAGATGAAATATATTCTTTATAATTGCATCACGAAATCAAACTAATTCCATCTTATTCAATCATATGAATAGATTCATTTTTTCCCCTAGCTGCAACTATGGTGGACACTAAACCTCAAATAGTTGCTGCAGCAGCAACAGCCGCGGGAACAACAACGGCTGCTGTGGCGGCAGCGGCCAAGCACTTCATGACGCCAATTGGACCCCTCCAGCTTACGGGCGAAGAGGTCAACGAGATATTGATGAAACGAGCGGTGCAGGCGGCTAACGTGCAGGCTGGTCAAGGAAATAATAGCGGCGGCGGAGGCGCTGGAGGCGGAGATGGCGGACACTCGGGGGAATTGGTCATCGGAGAACTGCAGGGGATTCACATACAAAGTGAGTAGAATTTATTGTTATAGAATTATTTTTCTAAGAATTTATTTTCTAAATTTTTTTTAAGTAGAATTTATAACTTTGATTTCAAAATAAAGTGTCATATTATATTATTGTTAGTATGGGTTGCACTTTTTTATATCCACGATAAGTTTATCTTGAATAATTTAATTATAACAATAGTATTATATATTGTTAGAAAAGCAATAAATTTATTTACAAATCTGTATATAACGTTCTCTAGAAAAAATCTTAAAAATTGACTTCATAAAAAAAAAAATCAGTAAAGTTCAATATTCAGTTAGCCATTGGTTACATTTTTTAAAATTTACATTTATATTGCTGAAATTTTTTTACAACATACATATTATTATATATGGTTAGAAAGTTATAAAATTATCTACAACTTTGTATATAACACTTTACCACATTTCGAACAAACTTATTTACAAAATACAATATTATAGTTAATGAAGAAAGATAAATCTAATATTTCAATTTTAAATGTCAACAGTCAAAAAGGACCACACACAACTTCATTGTGTTGAGTACTTTGTTCATAATTAAATGCAGTAATTTTAAACCATTTTATATATAAGATTATAATAACTTGTTTTGCTGCACGTTTATTAACTTCCCGTAGGGTAAGTTATTGTAATGGGCCGAAAATTGGAATTGAATTTTTTTACATTTCTCGACGTTTTGAAGGTTTCTGAACGTTTTGGCATACCTCAGAAAAAATGGATGTGTGTGTGTGTGTGTGTGTGCATGTATGTATGTATGGATACAAATTTCCAGTCACGTTTTAGGGCGCACGGATCAACCGATGTGAATGGTTCAAAAAACATTCGATTCCTATTGATAGGGAAAAGAGCTGATTAGTTTTTGGCAAAGGCAGGTCCAGCCGTTTCGGAGATACGGAGAAAAGAGTGCAGAAAATAGAAATCGAATTTTTGAGAGAACGGAGTATCCGATTTGAATGATCTAAAAAACATTTAATTAGTAATGATTGGGGAAAGTGTTTATTAGTTTTTGGCAGAGGCAGGCCCAGCCATTTTGAAGATATGGAGCTAAATATGTAAAAAATTTCAGTTTTTGAGAGAACTAAGCGTCCGATTTAAATGATTCAAAGAACTTTCTGCTTGTCTTAACAAAATAATTGATTTTGGAAAAAAAAATTTTGTTCCAACTTCTTTTTTTTTTTTAGTTTTTTGTATATCGAAAATATTTCAGATTTTATTTTTAATTCTGATTATAGTTCTAATATACTTCACAAATAATTTCAACTCTGCAATTTAGTTTATATAATTCTTATAAATATTAGACAATGTTACAATATTTATAATAATCTATTTGAAAACATTCAGTATTTCTCGAACATTTCGTTACGGTACGGGAAGTTTCAGCAATTTGCCTTAAGGTACGATGCCATAATTGCCACAAGACAGAGTTCCACTTACAGCTAGTTTTATTATAAATAATTAAAATATAACATTAGTATTATATATTAGAAAGGTAATAAATTTATCTACAAATCTGTATATAACGTTTTCTAGAAAAAATCTTAGAAATCTTAAAAATCGACTTCATAATTGAAAAAAACTCAAAATGAAAGCATAACAATATTTTTAATATAAATACAAAATATTAATAAGCCTTTCTTGTTGTACTTGTATTTTGATTTTTTTTAATTTAATTTTGTAAAATCTTTGCTAAAATTCCAGAACAATTATTTTTGTTTCTAAATTATCTTTTTAACAAAAATGTATTTGAATAACACCATCTATATTTGTCTAATTAGGTCTTGGAAATCAAAAGATGGGTATGGAGGAAACTGATGATTCTCAAAATACAGCCTCGACTCACTGTCCGAAGCTTGAACCAATTGTGAGTCTATCACCTAAGGTAAACGTAATGTAGTTCCAATGAAATGTTCTGTCTGATGAAAATGCTCAAAAGAGAGAGAGAGAAAGAGAGAGAGAGAGCACCTTTCGCCCTGCACAGAACTTTCAGTGTTGTTTTGTTTTTGCTCATTAAATGCTTACCTTTCTGATTTTCTTTAATAAAATATATTAATAATCATCTACTATACTAAACCATCATCAGACGTTGAATGTTATTGTTTTACTAACATTTGTAAACATCTTTGTTTATTTATATATAAAGCAATGTTTGTTATTGTATTTTATGTAACTAAAAAGACTTATCGATGTATTCTAGTTATTAACTTATCCTTGCTAATAGACTGATTGCTTTTATGTTGACTCATTGCTAATAATGTGCTAAAACTATAATGTTTTAATTTTAACATCAACACTAAATTGGGATTTTTAAGACTCATTTAGGGTAGATTTAAAAAGAATCAGAAGAGGCATATATTTTTTGAGCATTTACAAATTTATTCATTAGCTTTTATATTTGTTATTTGTTTTGCTATATCTGTTTGCTATATATATATTCGACTATTTTGAATTATTATAGCATACATTATTTTTTACAGTCTTTAATAATTCTTGTTTTAAAACTGTTGACAACAATTTATATTATTTTTAACACGTTCAAATATAATATTCATATCTGCACATATTTTTAAGTTTATGAAGATTGTGCAATTTCTTTTACTTATATATGTAATACTTCTACTTATACATATAAAGTAATACCAATTGATCACAAAAGAAACTCTAAATGAATAATTTTTAAATGGCTTATTTTTTCAATATCTAAATGAAAATATTCTGAAACTCAATGCTAAGATAAAATTATCTATCAAAACACACACACACACACATATATATATATATATATATATATATATATATATATATAACTGATGTTTTTCTTTCTATATAGACATGCTTACATTTTTATTATCAAATTTAATTTTAAAAAATCTGTTTTTACATAAATGAAAAAATTATCATATCATTATTAATATTCAATTTTATCTTTACATTTAAGAAAATTAAAATTGCCAGTAGACTCTAGATTTATCGCTAATAGAATATAATACAAATTTTATTTTCTAGAGACTATTTCTATTTATTTTGTAAACAGCTCAAACTAATAGAAATTGGCTTAATAAAATCATCATATTTTTAACCAAGATAAATAAAATACAACCTACCAGGGTTATTGCTTACGTCCAGCATTAGCAGATAGATCAGAATAATCTCAATTTAATAAATTGATTTTCAGTAGATTTTGCTTTAGAAGTCAGAATACAGAAATTAATGCTTTAGTTTATCCCTAAGTTTCAATTTATATTGAAGACTGTAATTATGGTTTTTGTGCATATTACTTTCATATAACTAATGTGAATAAAAGATAAAAGTTCAAACAGTATTATCTTTTTTATATAAAGATAATATATGTTTTACTATTCTTTGAAGAAATTGGATAAGTAAACATATGTTTTTAAAATGTCTGTTAAAATAAAAATTTGTTTTTGTATTTTGTATTTGATGTTTGTTTATCAATTTATTTGATGTAATGTAGTTTTTAATTCTTCAACAATTAAAAGATTAGGAGAGATTATTTTCAAAACATTTAGTATAATGAAGATCCTCAAAATGTTTTTATTATAATTTTGTAATTGTATCTCAATTAAAGAAAAAAGCTCAAAATAATTAAAATAAACCATTTAGTTGACAACTTTTATTTCATCATATACAAAGGAAGTCTAATTTTAGGCTTTGCGCAGGAAGGGCTTTTCCAGTGTTTTGTTTTATAGATTCTTTTCAATATAAAGTCTTACAACAATTTTTTTCAATTTTCTTTATAGCTTTATCTATAATTTTATGTAGCGCAACAGATAAACTTTCCATATACATATTATGGAAATCTTTCTCAAACACCTAGAAATAATTTCTTTAAAAGAAAAATAATTGATTTAATTAAAAATTGCGATTGGATATGATTTGTAATTGATTGTAAACTTTATTTAAATACATTGTTCAGTATTCTTTTAATTGAGATACAAGTTTTGATATCGATTAGAAAATTATTAATTAAAATTTGGTATTGTTTTTAAGAGCCAAAAAATAAATGTTTCTATTCTATCTACAGCAAGGAACACAAGTGACGCCGAAAGAGAGACCTTATTCCTGTGATGACTGTGGGAAATCTTTTCTGTTGAAGCACCACCTTACAACACATGCTCGAGTACATACAGGTAAGATGCATATGCTTACTTGTTTGGTGTATTTTTAATTTTTTCTTCATTACATGAAGTAACTAAAAGTAAAATTTTTTTTTTTTGTATATTTTATACATCACTGTAATAAATAAGAAATAGATACACTATGGTCATAAAGTTTTTTTATAAAAAATGTTATTTTACTATAACTATCCTGAAATGATTGTATTTAATTTATCCAGTACTGTTTTTTATTATTAGGATTTATATTGCTTACTTTTGACTTGCTTTTCATTTACTGTTTGTATAATTTGTAGGAGAGCGCCCACATATTTGCGTTCATTGTGGAAAGAGCTTTGCTCACAAACATTGTCTTAATACACATCTTCTGCTACATTCTACCGAGAGGCCTTACCAGTGTCAGGAGTGCAAGAAAAGTTTTACACTCAAACATCACTTGTTGACGCATTCAAGGGTAATAATAATATATATTATGAACTTGTAATTATTTGCAAAAAACAAGTGTATCTCATACCAAAGCAAGCTTTATTATTTTTGTTTTTTAACTATGTTTTATGAAGATTTTCTTTTAGAAATAGCTAAAATAAGGATATAGTATGATTATCATAAAAATGAGAATGTAAATTTTAATAATTGTTAATTCATTAGGTGCATTCACGAGAAAGACCGTTTGTCTGTCAGGAGTGTGGTAGAGCTTTCCCATTGAAGCGACATTTAGTAACACACAGTAAATTCCATGCTGGTGAGCGTCCGTTTGTTTGTGAAGACTGTGGAGAAAGTTTTGCACAAAAAGATCATTTGGTAAGAATAATTTTATAATGATTTTTTTATATTTAATAAGCATCAATAATAATAATCACTATATTTGAGTTATGAAGATTAAATTTAATTGATGAATGAAATTCTGATATAATAGCTCATCTATTGTGATTTTATTTATAATAATTTATTTTAATAAACTGTTTATACATCAAACAAATTTGAAAAAGAATTTGGTTTGAAAACTGTTTTTTATATGTGTCTTATTTTATAGGTAATGCACTCACGTTTCCATGGAAGCACAAACCCATTTGTTTGTCCAGATTGTGGTGCAACATTTCCAAGAAAATTCCAACTTGTCAATCATGGACGACTTCATGGTCGAATTCCACATTCATGTTCAGTTTGTGGGAAAGAATTTTTGCAAAAAAGGACAATGGTAGCACATATGAGGTACACTAGTTTTATTATAATAGAAATTTAAATGAATTTAAAGAAATATTAATTTAATTTTATTAATATTTTATAATTGGAGTTAATCCTAATTTTTTTTATTAGGCTTCACACAGGTGATCATCCATTTGCGTGCAACCAGTGTGGTGAAAGTTTTAGAGTGAAACCAGAACTTACTCAACATACTAGACTTCAACATGGTACTGGAAATAATACAAATAACACTAATAATCAACAAAACAACACTACAGATCGGCCTGGATTTCCTTGCAGGTAATAGAATCTAACTTAAGCAATAGTATTTTGTTTTTGAATATATTTGTGCAATCATTTCCTAGCCTTCAAAGTATGATTAGAGCAAAATAAATATAAAACAATGAAATGAAATGAACTACCTTGTTCTTGGACAAATAAAATTCTCATAAATTTCTTTAAAAAAAATTCTATGACAAATTTAAAATAATTAAGGTATTATATATTTTTATTGTATTATTTATAATACCATATTATTAATACACTAATTGAAGATAAGTGAAAAAATCAAAACAATTAATTTTATTAAAAATTCATAACAAAATAGGTAACAAGAAGTGAGATACTATATTTGTTACTTATTGTAGATTTTCTCCAAATTTAGTACTTCATTATATAATAACTCACTACAATTTAATAAATTCCATAGGGAGTGCGGTAGCGCTTTCAACAGCCGTGAAGCACTTGCATTGCATTTGCGTCTTCATGCAGGTGATAGAACTCTTGTCACAGATTTGTGTGCATTAACTGCTGCCTTACAGCCGTCACATTTCTTAGCCCAAACGGGTACAGGTAAATAAAAATTTGTTATACAATAAAATTGATTAAAATTAAGTTGTTCATAATTATTTAAATTTATACAACCATAAATATTGATTTCATTACTTGCAGTTGTAAGTCAACAAGGAACTGGAACAACAAATCAGGGCCTGCAAATAATCACTTCTACAGGAGCTGTTGTGAGTCATGGCGCAACTCAAACACCTGTTGCTCCTGCTCGCACTAAGAATCATTTTTGTCAGGATTGTGGCAAGGGCTTTGCCGCAAAACATGGATTATTACAACATAATAGAAGGTTAGTTCAAAATAGTTTTCAATATTTTAATCATCAAGATATTATGTCTTCTACACTACCAACTGCAACTATCAACAGTTGATATAAATATATATAAATAATATATGTATGTATAGTTATTAAAATAAGTGTATAAAAATTGCTTTATAGTAAAATGGATACTCAAAATTCAAGTTATTATAATATTTTTCTATTTATAGGCATCCAAATGGGGCTTGTACATTGAGAACACATGTATGCGAACAGTGCAACAAGGCATTCTTCCAGAAAAATCATTTATTATTGCATCAAAGACAGCATCAAGAGCATCCTAGAAATCAGGTCAGTAATGTATGCTATCTGTAATCTGTAATATATATCCGAATCGCTGGTTTTATATTTTCTCGACGGTTCAAGTCTTTCTGAATCGTTTGAGACAATTTGTCGGAGTTTTCTAAATGACTATTATGTTTTCGCGTCGATTGACCGGGAAGACAATTTTTAGTTGTTGTGGGGAAGGTCTTTGAAATAACAAATGCCATTTAAAGATACAATAAAAAGAACAGTATTTTATATGAATCTGTTTTTTAAAAACCATTTTTGCGGACTTTTAGTAAGAACTTTTTATTTCGATTAATGTTATATTTTTTTATATATGGTGTTATATTATATCTTATATTTTTCGATCTTATACTTTTCACTTTTGAGCCTTGTATACAATTCTATTCCACTATTTTCATAATTAATTTTAAAAAAATAGCTTTTGTTTGTTTGTTTTCATAATTTTTGGTAATTTATTAACTTCCCGTAGGGTGTTATTGTAATGGGCCGAAAATCGAAATTGAAATTTTTTACATTTCTCGACGTTTTGAAGGTTTCTGAACGTTTTGGCATACCTCAGAAAAAGTGGATGTGTATGTGTGTGTGTGTGTGTGTGTGTGTGTATGTATGTATGCATACAAATTTCCAGTCACATTTTAGGGCGCATGGATCAACCGATTTGAATGGTTCAAAAAACATTCGATTCCTATTAATAGGGAAAAGAGCTGATTAGTTTTTGGCAAAGGCAGGCCCAGCCGTTTCGGAGTTACGGAGCAAAGAGTGCAGAAAATAGAAATCGAGTTTTTGAGAGAACAAAGCATCCGATTTGAATGATCTAAAAAAACATTCAATTAGTAATGATTGGGAGAAGTGGTTATTAGTTTTTGGCAAAGGCAGGCCTAACCATTTCGGAGATACAGAGCTAAATGTGCAAAAATTTGCAGTTTTTGAGAGAACTAAGCGTCCGATTTGAATGATTCAAAGAACTTTCTACTTGTTTTACCAAAATAATTGATTTTGGAAAAAAAAATTTTGTTCCAAGATTTTTTTTCAATTTTTTTTTTTCAAATTTTTTTTTTCTATATCGAAAATAATTCAGATTTTAATCGTAATTCTGACTAAAGTTCTAGTGTTCTTTAAACAAATATGTTTAACTTTGCAATTCAGTTTATATAATTCTTATAAATATTAGACAATGTTACAATATTTATAATGATCTATTTGAAAACATTCAATATTTCTTGAACATTTCGTTACGGTACGGGAAGTTCCAGCAATTTGCCTTAAGGCACGATGCCATACACCCCACTAGTTTAGCTATAAATTTTCGAAAACTGGTACAATCCGGGATAAATATTGCTTTTAGAAAAACACGGGACACAAGGTGCTAATCCGGGACTCTCCCGGCCGAACAACGGGATGTATGGGCACCTTAATATAACGCGCATTCGTTTTTCATTCAATATTATAATATTTAAACTATTGGGTTGTTCGGAAAGTAACTTCGTTTTTTTATAGACATTTTGGCACGTAATTTTCGTACAGTAAACAATTACTTTAGTAAATTATGTATTGGCAGTTTTGATCGAATATCTTTTGTCATATTTCTCGTATCAGCATAATTCCGAAATCATAAATGTTTTGGTCATTATTGGAAAAAAATTGATCAAAGTGCTTTTTGACTGGCTGATTTGAGGTAAAGGGTTTACCACCTAAAAATTTTTTTAGTGGCCGGAACAAATAATGGTTCGATGATGACTGGTCTGGAGAATATGATGAATGTGTCATTGGGTCCCATTCAAGCTTCAAAAGCTTTTGGCGATTGACCAAACTTTTGTGAATTCTAGCGTCGTCTTGATGCAGGACTATACTTTGTTGTGGGTTAATTCTGACCTTTTCTATTGAACTACATTGGTTAATTTATCCAACTGATGACATAAGGCATTTGAATTAACCATTTTGCTATCCTGAAAAAGCTGAAAAATTAACAACTCCTTTAAAATCTTACCAACATACTGCATCACCTTTCTCTGTCAAATTTCTGCTTGCACCTGTTTTGAGCAGGTTCTTCTTTTTTGTTTTATGGGGAAATACGTATTTTGTATTCTTTACATCCCATTTGAAATTTCTAGTGGCAATTCACTTTAAAACCTGATAATTTTCAAGACTTCAGAGGCGAATCGCGGACGCCAGTGCGACGACACACGTTTCTTTATAAGAGAACCATATATTGAGTTTCCAGGAAAATCTCAGACCTTTTGAGTGGTCATGAATTGTTAAATTTGATAAAATTTTTACTTAATGGGATCTCATTTATTGTTATTCGCCAGTTTGCATCAACTAATGCTTTTCTCGCGTCTTTATCAGCTTCAACCGTACTTCTTGGACGTGGTGCATCTTGGACATCAAATTACCAGGAATGAAATTTAGCAAACCAATTTTGGCACTGTAGAGACACGTTATGAATGCTGTGATTTATACTAATTCTGAATTTCTTGTAGTATGGTTCCCATACAACGTGATAGCCGGTATTATCATATTACACTCAGCGCGTTATCGGAGGGTTGACGTAGTTTTATAACTAAATTTATAGGAACAGCTTTTGATTTTATATAATACAATAACATAAAGTGATAAAATCTAAGGCTAGCAATTAATAAAAAAAATTAATTGGCTGAACCAATACATATTATTCAATCAATATAATTTTTCTCCAGGGTGATAGTCAGCAACAACAATCTGGTAGCAATGGAATTCAACAGCAACAACAACAGCAATCAGCTATTCAGTCATCAAATAACATTCAGCAACAACAACAGCAGCAGCAGCAGCAGCAACAACAACAACAACAGCAACAACAAGGAAATGATAATGGACTCTCAAATGTATGAACCATTAAATTTATCTAATTAAGCATTTATATCAAAATTGCCAAAACATTACATAAACATTTTAGCAGCAGCAATCTAACAATCCACTTAATCTACAACAACAATCAAATGGAAACAACAATGGCGAAACAATGGCTCATGCCATGGGCCACCAAATTACAGGGTCTCATCTTGCGCAAGTGCAAGTTTTACACACGGGTGGTGGACAACCTGCACAAGTTATCAAGTATGAGATCAATATACCACAACCGCCTGGAGTCGGGGTTGTGAGAGACAGACAGACAATGGAGTAATATGTCAATATGCTATTTGTTATTGTGTTTTAAAGGATTTTTTAGCTATTATGTGGATGCAGTGAATGTGAATTGAAACTAAAATATTTTATTAAAATTATTTGTCATCGACAATTTCTTATCTGGAAGTATTTCATACTGGATAATTAATACTATATAATGAATTATGTATGTTACGGATTTATATATTCGACTTGAAATGAAGATTTATAGAATTTGATAGAATTGAAATGGTAAATGAGCTATTACAAACATCAGACATTCAAATGTAATTTATATATTGGTAGCGCATTTTATATATTTTATATATTTTAATTAAAAATTACTATGAGATCATTATTAAGGTCAGATTTGATGTACCATTTGTTTAACATCGGACAAAAATCACCCATTGTGTGCAATTTATTTTTAGAACTTTAAAGAATTTGTTGATGACAGATATGTGATCTAATTCATATAGCTAGAACTGTAAAAATGCCAAGCATACCCGGCAAAAAATACATTAGCATCTTTTAAAGATAACTTATATTATAGGATCATTTTATATAGATATGTATTTAAATATTTTACATTTCAAAGTTTGTTTGGAAATTTATTTAAGCTTTAATCATGATGCATACAACCAATCTGCTAAAATATTTTTTGCTTATATAAATATGTACACACAAACACACATCTATAAAATCGTATGTATTAAATTACATATATTATTTATGTACATTATTATGTATATAAGCTTCGTACTTAATATATGTAATTTAATAAATGCACACACACATATACACATACGTGTGTATATACATATATGTGCACATACATATATATATAATTTTATTTACACATTTACGCGTATGATGAATGATTTATTTTAATATATGTGTAAATGGCTTATTTTATCAGTCATTTAACATAATTAAGTACATTTTAATAATTGATAATAAACAAATATAAATGCCCAGTATTTATTAAATTTTATTTTTCACTTTATCTCCGTGCGGTCTGATACTGTTTTTGTTTTACCTTGAATATGTATATATATATGTAATAATTATACAATAAAATTTTAATGATATAATTTGGAAACCATTTAATGTTGTATAATTATTTAAATTTATATAAATTTTAACTCATATCAATTTTCGTAAGCTACTTAAATCAGTAGATGCCTCAAAAGAAGATTTGGCAACTATATCCAACATGTTAAAAGTATATATAAAGACAACCCCTAATTTAAATTTTCTATTATTTGAATTATATTTTTTAGGGACATCTATTGATTTGACAGCACTGTGATAAAAATGTTATTTTATAAAATGTAAACAGTACAGCACAATGTTATGTTTGGAACGTTTTAAATTAAAATTATAAATAATTTCTGACAGAAATTCCTGGAAAAGTAAACACTTAGGTTTATGATCTATACTTGGAGGCCATAAAGATTAATTTTGATGTATGTGTAGGTGCAACTATTTGATATAATTTTCTGATCTGCTGAAAGTACATGCAAGCTTGTGTATGTTATGCTTATAATATGTAAACTCGATTATTAAAGTTGAGTGGTAGCCCTTAGGATTATTTAGGTATGGACTAAAATTTTAATATGAGATGATTATTATTGTGACGATGATAAGAATACATTTTATTATTTAACAATACTAAAAGTTTTATATAAGAATAAAATATAAATTTACTATATATTACACATAAACTGTATATACATTATGATAGTGAAAAAACAATTAACGTAAAGATATTATTTAGAAGACATATATGCAAATTGTTGATATATGAGTGTATTTAAATTTTTTTTAGGATGGTTCCCAATCAAAAACATAGTTTTACTAGTGTTAACCCGAATGTATTTAGATGTAGTTTCTTACCAGTGTATAATGTCGATAAGGCAAATTACCAGCTATAATATATAGGGCAAGAATTCTTCAGATAGAGTTAAAAAAATACAAAAAATATGTTAGGGTATTATAAATTTTTAAGAGATAATATTCAGATAATCAAAAATGGACAAAAATCAACCTGCGTATTTATTGAAAAACTCAATTGTAAACAGCTTAATTTGTTTGAGTTTAGTTTAGTGATTTGTTTTTGTTAATTAAGCATTTTCAATAAGATATGTATATTATAACAATAATATTAGTAAATAACTATGTCAACAAATTTGTTTTCAGTCGCCTAACAAATTACAGATATATTAATTATAATATTAATGTAAAGATATCATTGTATGAATATGAAAACTATTCAATATACTTATTCATTTTTGAACTATTTGTTTAATGCTTGATTAAGATTAAGGACTCTGTTTAATTGTGAAGCTCTTTTCATATTTCATTTCAGATAGCTCTGGTCTAAATGAATGTATGAATGCACTAAATGAACAAAAAAGTTGATTTTTACTTTTGTTTAATGGCGTAATCATTTGTCATAATTATTATGTTCAGAGAAAATTTTAAAATATTTTATGATTGATTTTCTGAGCGTATACAGTTTTTGAGTTTGAAATTTATTAAATAGCTATATGTAATTGACATTTTTAATGAATTTCCCAATAAGTTTAAATATTTGACTTTATTAATAAGATATGAGATTAGCTTACCAGATGAATGTATTGTTAATTAAATGAAATTTTCAACTATTTATTTCAAAAAAGAACTATGAACTAATGACTATTTATAATGTATGTGGTGCAGTATAGCTACATTAAAAATGCAAAATAAATTATTTTAACATTTAATTCGAGGAAACGGTTGGTCCAATCTTTGCCAAAAACGAATTAGCACTATTCCCAACTGATATCTTTCTAACAGGTTTTTATATTTATAAAAACATGAACAAAATATTCGCATTTCTCAGCTGATTCTAAAAAATCGTCTTGCAAAACTGATTATAGTTTTATTGAATTGCTTTGAAAGTTTTGAAAACCGTTTTAAAAACATGAATTTAGCTAGTCAGATTTTCGGGCAAATGCAAATTTTCTGCTTCGGGAAATTAAAAAGTCTTAATCATTTCTTTCTTACAAAGTTATTATATCAATTCAAAACTTTTAGCGCAAATCTACTTTATTTATACTATCCACTTCTTCATATTGATGTTTACAGTAATTTGAATACTACATCAAATATGTATAATCGATTTATTTGAGAAGAATGAAACAATTATATTAATATAATGTCTAAAAACACAACGTAATAATTATTCATAAATATTATTATAAAGATTCAGTAGGGATTAAGCAATTAAACTATGAAACCGTTACATTTTTTAAAATTCAATTCAATTGTGAAAAAATGTTGCAAACCCCTGTTTTTCGTAGTTTGACGTTGACGTCTTGACGAACACATGTTCATTGAATGCTCATAAATATGCACAATCTTGTTTGTTAATATTTTTACACCAAAGTTACGTAAAGAATTGATAAGATTTGCTGCAAATAATTATTATTAACATTAAAGTAATTATCAGACCGCTTATTGTTCGATTACAGTTTGGATTTTACAAATAAAATGTCAAAACATTTCAAGTATGCTGTCGTGACAGGTATAAACAAACTATTGTAATACAAAAAAAAAAATATGATTTTATTGCCACTTGATAATAAATATAATTAAAATTTTACATGGATTTTAAGTGAGTGATAGTTGTAGCTGTGGCACGGCAGAAGACACCAGTGGTCCAAATTTAGTAAGATTGTTAGAAACAAAATTTGGTGCTTCTGGTGTTATATATCGTCTGGTTCCAGATGATATTTTAAAAATAAAGGTGCTTAAATATGACCTTACGAATATTTGACTCAATATGTAAAATACATGTTCAAACTTAAAGAACAATGCACGCAATCCTACTTGCAGCTTCATTTAATTAACAACTTAAATAACTTATAAAACTTAGCACAATGCAATCATTATAAACTCTATATATATATATATATATATATACATATACATATATATATATATATATATATTATAATAACACATGTATATTCAATGGCAACGGTTTTGTTATAAATGTCTTCACCTAACAGTCTTCAGTAAATTACCATTAAGTATCGACAATGTTACTAATGCACCTAACTCAACAAAATAGACATAAAAGCAATTTTCATATTTTCATAACAATAACAAGAGATTATCATATCAGTTTTATATACAAACTAATAGCATAATTCATAAAAAAAGTCTACTACATAAAAAACTTAATATATTAGAATACTGATCTAGAAGCTTCTAAATTCTAAAGGTCTGAACGATTATACTAATGCCTATTACTTGTTTTTTTATACGATTGTGTGCTTTATATATATTAACACATATTACGTGCCAATTATAACGCATGCTATGCTTTTTCTAATTGGAATATTAAAATCTTCGATGCCTACCTTTTTAAAAGACTCATCAACATTTAGTTGTATGACTATAAATTAAATTCAAATTTTCATTGCTTTTCAGTCACCTTTTCATGTATATTTAATATATATCTTTATAGCATTGCGTTTATATTATTTTAAAGCACAATATTTTTTTCTACAAATAACACATATTGCTTTACATCTAACTTTATATCATATTTATAATATACACCTAAGTCTGTTTTTACACGGTAGATTGGTTCCAGAAGAAGCCGTTTAAAAAAAAAAAACGTGTAAAAAAAGACATTGATCTTATACAAAAATGGGTGATTTGTTCCTAATCTCTAAAACCTATTAAAATTAGTGAAAAACAAGAATTTTTAAGAACAAGGATTCATGTTTATTTTATTAAATCAAATATATAATTCTGATACTATCGATGGTTTCAGACTTTTTTCTTTTATAAATACTTTTTTGTGATATGAACATACTTCGCAAAAATTAAATTTGACAAAAAAATTTAAGTACATAAAATTTCAAATCGTGCTAAATGGAATAAAATCGTGTAAAAAAATTAAAAATATTCAATTTTCAAACCGTGTTATATCAAAACCGTGTACAAAAAGACCGTGTAAAAACAGACTTAGGTGTATTTAATTAATACATAATTAATTGAGTATTTGGGTTTTCAAATCATGTCCAAAATAAAGATAATTTCAATAATATTTATTTATTGTAGGAATGTTTAGAAACATTAATATCTCAAGATGTAGCATTGATCCTAACAACTGGTGGCACTGGTTTCAGCCCTCGAGATGTTACTCCTGAAGCAACTCGAGCTGTTATTCAAAAAGAAGCTTCAGGAATAACTCATGCTATGATGAGTGGAAGCCTTAAAGTAACACCTCATGCTATGCTATCTAGGTAGTTGCAAAAAAATGAATCAGAATAGTTATATAGCACATATTTTTTCAAGCTTATTTGTTTTATTTTCTTAGAGGAATTAGTGGTATATGTGATTCTACTCTTATAGTAAACTTACCTGGAAGTAAAAAAGCATCACAAGAATGCTTTGAAATTATACATACTGCATTGCCACATGCTATATGCTTAATTAGAGATTTGCAGAAAGATGTTAAAGCAATTCATCAAGAAATGCAAGGCCAAAAAAGTGGTTGCCGACATACTCACTCTAATGTAAGTTGAATTACACTAATAGCCCTAGTCATATTTATGATTGTATTTTATCTACAGGCAGATGTGAATAAAATAGCTTATCGTTTGAGATCTTCACCATATCCAATGTTAAGTGTGCATGAAGCAAATCACATCATTGAAGACATTATTTCATCAGGTGCTTTATTAAAAGAATTTGCAGAGAAATTGGAATGGTCAGTTAAATAATTGATAATAAATGTTATTAGTTGAGTAAAATTAATTTATAACTTAGCCTGAAAATAGACAAATGTCTAAATAGAATTCTGGCAGAAGATATATATTCTAAAATTTCATTACCACCGTTTCGAGCATCAATCAAAGATGGTTATGCAGCAATTTCAACTGATGAAGTTGGACCAAGAGAGGTTTTGCAAGGAATATGTGCTGGAGATTATGTAAGAAATCTTAAATTCATTTTATTATGAATTATATAGAGTCATGATTATACATATATAAACTTTATAATTTGTGTACAGGCAAATATCCAATTAAAACCAGGACAATGTGTTAGAATCAATACTGGGGCAATGGTTCCAGACTCTGCAGATTGTGTAATTCAAGTTGAAGATACAAAGCTTCTGAAACATAGTGACGATGGTACCCAAGAATTGCAGATCGAGGTCATGGTTAAGCAAAAAGTGGACAAGATATTAGGTAAGTCTGGTTAAA